TGTATGTATGAAATAACAGAAAATTAGATATTAGATGTATGAATGTTTAATAATATAAAAACACATAGAAACACTTAGATTTGGTATTTAAATATTTATTGTTAAAAATCATACAACAGTTAGCATAGGCTATTAGATTAGACAAGAAGTGGGGACCCGTGATACTTGCAGGGGGAAGTAGCAAGAGCTTCACGTAGAGGAGGAGGAAGCAGCCGCAGGTGAGCCCAGCATGTGGCGCTGCCAGGCCCGCCAAGCCTTCTCCCCCACATGGCACTGGTGGTGAGGCCCATGTGGCTCCCAGTCGCCAGGCCCACCAAGCCTTCTCCCCCACCCCCTGCAATGGCGGTGAGGTACACTTTCCAGTGCATTCTCTGCGCATGTGCAGGGAACACTCTTTTACTTTTGGGGGATTTAATTATCCCCCTGTATAATTTTTTCTACATTTCAGATTTTTCTGCACACCTAGGGCGTGCCCCAAATGTGCAGGAAAATCTCATTGCCCGCTATGTGCCCCCAATGTGTGGATTTAGATATCTAAATACCAAATCTAAGTGATTCTATGTTTTTTTTATAACATTGTATTTTATGCCTTATTAGAGTTATAGTATGCACTTAATTTTGTTGTTGTGACACCACCAACTTTAATACAGTTTATATATTGGCAATTTCTGATGGTGTTTCTCCTAGCGGATTGTGTGTATCTGCGATTTTTCCATCTTCAGAAGATTGGGTTGATGAAACCCTATCTCTCCCCCCAAGACTTCGTTACAGTGACCCACGCAATGGTCACTTCGAGGCCTGACTACTGTAATTCGTTCTATGAAGGCTTACCCTTGAGGCTGACCCAGACATTACAGCTGGTGCAAAAAGCAGCAGCATGCCTGCTAACGGCGATGCTTATGTGGGCTCATGTTTGGCAAGTACTCCACCAATTGCATTGGTTACCAGTATAGTTACTAGTATAGTCTTTGCACTTAGGCTGTTAGCTGGCGATCACAGCGATGCTGGAGCGTGGCAAAAGAAGCAGCGTGGCAAAAGAAGCAGCATGGCAAGCGTTTCGCGTTTGTGCGCATGCGCAGTTCTGCGGAGCAGCACTGCTTTCAGGTACATGTTTGTGCGCATGTGCTTACGAAAAACATCCGGTTTGTGACGGGACCTGGACAAGCGCCAGATGCCATGGGATACTAGCCCTCCCGCGATCAGACACCCGCCCCTGCCCCACATTTTCTGGATACTAGTGCACTTTCTGTGGTACTTTTTACTGCGCATCTTCGGCGGGACGCCATGGGTTGGCCACGGGTCTCGAACTGCTGAACTACCGACGCTGCAGTTCAGCGTCTCAACCACTTGAGCCACCGCAGCCCTTGAAGGCTAATAAATCCCAAAAGACAGAGGGTTCTCCTGGTGGGTGGGAAGACTAACCTGCGTATTTAAGTGTTTCCTTTCTTGGATGGGTTTGCCCTTCCCCTAAAGGAGCAGGTTCACAGCTTAGGGATGCCGTTAAACCTGGGTCTTCTGTTGGATAATCAGGTGGCAGCAGTGGAAGGAGCATCTTTCACCAGCTTCAGCCTTTTCTGCGTAAAAGAGATCTTTTCGCCATGGTAACAACTAGATTATAGCCCTGGCAAGCCTGATCTTGGCAGATTTCAAAAGCTAAGCAGAGCCGACTCTGGCAGGTATTTGGATGGGAGACCTCCAGAGAATACCAGGGCCGGGAGGCCAGAGGCAGGCTCTCAGGCCCCTTCTCTGGACATCCTCTGTGCCCCAGTAGGAGTTGCCAGAGGTTGCCATGACTTCCAAGCACAGGTGCACACACATACATGATGCACAAAAATGCAAAAATACCCCCCCAAGAATGTCCAGAAATGACGATGGGCACTCCAGAAAGGCATACCGTGCATTTCAGTACACACCTTTAGCTAACTTAATTAAACATATTATACATAGACATTGATTGCAGATTTGCCTGGATGCAATAATTGACCGTTTATTGGATTTAGAAAAAAGAAGAGGAGATTGGATTTATACCCCCCACCCTTCACTACCCAAAGGAGTCTCAGAGCGGCTTACAAACTCCTTTCCCTTCCCCTCCCCACAACAGACACCCTGTGAGGTAGGTGGGGCTGAGAGAGCTCTCTCAAGCACTGCCCTTGAGAGAACAGCTCTGAAAGAACTTATGACTGACCCAAGGTCACACCAGAGCTGCATGTAGAGGAGTGGGGAATCAAACCCGGTTCTCCCAGATTAGAGTCCTTGCTCCTAACCACTACATCAAACTGGCTCTCTTAACTAGAAGTATTAAAGATACATTAATTCAGTCTGATTTTTATTGGAACCAGCCGAATAGGGTGGACACTACAAATGTGGTGTTCTGTGTGATCCTTCTCTTTGGCGATGAAGAAGTTTGAACATCCACAAGGTTTCATATAATTTTTTTTTTCATTTTACAAACTGTAATACTAAAAGGGCAATATATGTTGTTATATGCCCATGCTAGCTTCTATATATTGGGATGAGTGTACGCACTGTAAGACATGCATTATAGAACACAGATCATGAATCCACAATTTAAAAAAATGAAAGCATGTTTGGTAGCACATTTTGTAGGAAGTGGACACCTGCTAGTGATCTGCAGTTCTTTATACTTAGTAAACATGTATCACATGTGTACAATCATTTGGATGTTCAAAAAAATGTCGCTCCATCAAGAGGTGGCTTGGATTTAAAGGCTAAAGACATATCTGTCCTATGGATTTAATACAAATTTGGATCTGTCATGTTATCTATAGGAGCTACTTCTCTAAGACCACTTTCTAATGTATTCATGTTGCATTTGACTAGCCATAAATCACAGTGATTGCTTGTTTGGGGGTTTTTGCACTGTGATCCTGGTTTGTTTTTCTGAAGTTGATCACAACCGTGGTTGCATGTCTGGCCCACTCAGCGTACTCATTTGCCACTTGCTGGGGGGCACGTGCCTAAGCGCATGCATGCTCTCTAACGCATGCTAAGGAAACTGGCATTACGGCCACAGTAATCACCACTCTTCTTCCCGGCGTGTATTATGAACATTAAAAGAACAGCTGTAATCCTGGACGATATTACGTGTGTGCAAGTCTTACCATAAACTCAGTGCAAATAGGTGTTTATGGAACTCTCTCTCAGTGTAGACAGTTCACCCAAGTGACCTTGAAAATCTCCCTTTGCGATAAGGTGGCAGTGCAAAGAAGCTTCCCACGACGACTTAAATTTCTTTCGTTTATTCTAGAGCAAACTCAAAAGGTTTTATTTTTTTTAGCAAATTCTATCATGTAAATGTTAACATAAAAACATCTGTACATTTGCCATGATACACTCAAAATCGAAACAAATAAGATATAAATACAGATATGGATGTAACGTGACAAAAGCGCCAAAAAAATTCCAACCCTAAAATAGAAATTAAATACATGCACATGAACACTATGCCAACAAACTCACCCACCCCCGCCCCCCTGGATGGCTGACTATTGTGAGTGGTTTTGCAGCCTGTCCTCCTCATTTAAAACATTATTATTGTTAGCAAAGTCCTGTTGCATTCTACAAACGTTTCTCTTCTCCTTTAATATGCACTATTATGCTTGATAAATAAAAGGGGCTGGGCAGATGGTAGAAAGAAGAGATTTATATAACAATGTTGCAAGTTACATTACTTATACAGGTTATTGAGAAGCTAGTAGGAAGCAATAGAAAAGTCGTGTTGTATTGTAATTCAGGCAAGCACACATAGTGTACCTTTTTAAAGAAAGCCACATGCCTCAGTTAATTCAGCACTACATGAGAGACCTAAAAGGGCTTTGCATTGGTTGGTTTTCTCATACCTTGGGAACCTTGGTGGCCCAATGATAGCATGGGCGTCACCATCTAAGGCAACCCAACAGCAGGCAGGGTTGTTCTGTGCCGATTCTCAGATATAAAAGGTGTGGGGGGGAAATAGAGGAAGGGAGGGTAATAGGAAGAAAAACACATGGGAAAAGAAAGCTCTCTTTTAAATACTCTGGAAAAAATTAAAGCCCTGCATTAAGAGGCAGCAAGGGGAAAAGGCAGCTGTAGACATATGGACCGTGCTGGGAAAAATGGAGCCCTCCCCATTCCAACATTTACGTGCCAACAACATGCAGATTTATGTCCACCAGCCTGTATGGATCGGTGGCCAAAACAGTCCATTTTGCCTGGGAAATTCAGTATCCAACCTCCACTCCCAATTCGTGTAGACTAAGCTAGCCCTTTGAGTACCATCTGAAGAAACAGGATCAGGAATACTAAAAGACAAACAAAACAATTTGCTATGTACATTAGACACAAAATGAGGTTATAAATAATCCAGATTGCATGGGGAGTGTATCAGAGAGAGAGAGAGAGAGAGAGAGAGAGAGAGAGAGAGAGAATTGTAGCGTACTCAAAGGATGGAGAGTCATTGACGAGTGGGTGGCTGTTAACAGAACAAGTGTCATATTAAGGAGCATCGCCTGACAAAGAAAAACAGTATTTTATTAAGAAAGTAAGGCCTGGTTATCCAAATCGCAGTCCCTGAAAACCAATCAGCTTTTGGAAAGTACAAATTGCTTACTGAGATCTGAAGCAGCAGTAGTTGCCAATTTGACATTTATTTACTAAAAGATGGGCTGTGAATTCCTCTTGAGTTTATGTAATCCTGTGGATGCTCCAACAGTTTACATACATTACAGTGCATTTACTCTCAGTGCATACTAACAGACTTCATAAAAGGAAGGAATTCAGTTCTTGGTGAATGCCATAACTGAACAGAGATCTGTTTTTTTAAAAAAAAATCTAAACAGAGCATGAAAACGTGTCATCCTCTATAGATAAAATATATTACGTTTATCTAACAAATGTTCAATGGGTGGAGGGGCAGTTCCTTACCAGTTGCAGCACAAAGCAATAAAAACTTCAAAAAAGATATCAAGTAAAAACGTATACAACAGACATTATTTTTTAAAAAAAAAATGCATGGCAGCTGATTGCAGGCAAAAATAACATTAGTTTTCCTTCAAAGTGAAAACTTACCAACTTATCCTTTAGTAAATCATGCTGTTATATGACAAAAAAACCAAAATGAAAATGCTGAACTGCATGCTGAGGGGAAGCAGATAATGAATGATTTACACAGAGGCAGGTCTTAAAATAGCTATAATTACACTAGATCTGTGTCTGCCTCTTAATGGCAGCACCATTACAAATTCGCTGAAACTCCTGACCTAGGTCCATCAAGTGCTGGTATTATTATTATTATTATTTTTTTAAAGCCTGGTTTGATCTTGTCGTCTGTACAGGTTTCTCTGGAGAACAGCTAGATCATTCCAATTTTTAACCCCAGTTTTAAAACTATAACACATCACAGAAACTGGGAGAACTGGAGAAACTAGTCAAAAATGAAGGTTTAAACCAAATGCAAATCATGAAGACGAGTAAACAGCCAGGCACAAAACCAAATTCGGTTATCAATGATTCAAGTGTCAAAGAACTGTGTAACTACAGAAACCTACCAGGACTCAGAAATGCTAGTGGGTCAGCTGCAACATTTACATATGGCTTTCTACTGCTGTTTTGTGTGAAGACTGCAACCCAGGCCTTGCTTCCTTTACATTCAATACAGAGAATATCCGACAATGAAGAGCCTTAGAGGACTGGAAATACTGATTGCAACAAATATCTGCGTGGCCTCCATCAGCAGGTGGAGTGTGCTGATGAGGGGGAAGGGTCTCTGAGAGGCACAGCTGATTGTTTCTATGTCTACAAGTACGTCCAAAGATCTCCATTAACTGTGTGTGGAAACATCTGAAGATGAGCTGCTGTTGCTGTTGGTAGTTTGGGCCCTCTTTATGTACAAGTTGAGGAGCTTCATCTGAAAGAGTAAAGTAATCAGGTCAAGGTTTTTCATTGAAGAGCTTGTTTCCCATCCCTTGCTCTGACAGAATCCTCATCTCCATATAGGGTTACCAAGTACCTACCTTCGAATCGGCGGGGGACACGTGGTTCCCGGCTGGGACATCCCTCGGTGTAACACACACACACACCCTGCACCATGCCGTCGCCCAGACGTGACGCCAGCACGCTGGGCACGTAGCTGGGCGACGCTCTGGCAATGGAGCTGGAAACTCACGTTTCCAGCTCCATTGCCAGACCGTCGCCCAGCTACGTGCCCAGCGTGCTGGCGTCACGTCTGGGCAACGGCATGGTACGGCACGTTTGTCTTCCGCGTGGGAATGTTCCCGACAAGAAGTATGTGTCCCCCGCCGATTCGAGGCAGGTACTTGGGAACAGGGGTCATTTCGTAGAAAAAGAGCTAGGGGAACTCATTAGCATAACTCATTAGCATATGCCACACCCCCTGACATCACCGGAAGTGTGTCCTCCCCACAGCCGGCGGCGACCTCCAGCGGGCACCAGCAGGGAGCTCCAGGTCCCGCCCTCCCGCACCTCACCCGGGGGGATGGCGTCCCCCCGCGTCCCCCCCCAAATGACCCCTGCTTGGGAAGCCTATCTCCATAGGGATTGCCACAGGACATCACTGCACTTGAAATCTGACCACAGATCAGTCAGCCTCTGTTGCACATTTACCGCTTCTGCTCTATAGCTGAATAGCAGTAAAATATGATTTATATTCATACAGTGAATTGTCACCTAATTGATAGATGTGGGATAGTTCTTACTCCATCATGTTTTACTTTACAATACTTAATCCTAGACATGAAAGAGTTAGTCCCCTCTTTTAAAAAAAAAAATTCAAAAACTGAGAGCTTTGCAAAATGATCCATGGATATCTTTTATTTGCTCTTTAGCTGGGATGACTCTCACAATAAAATGGGTGGATGATATGGCTGAACCCCAAACATACCCTCAAGTACTAACACATCTATGCCTGCCATGCCTGTTTCACAAGAACATCTGTCAAAGGAAATACATACCTGGTGGGGTCAGATTGTCATGAATTAGTGAGAGCGCTAAGATTTGAAATTGGTATGTGTGCACTAACAATGACAAAGGTTTGGCCAAAGGTCACTATTAATCACAATTCATTTTTTGCCTGGTGCTAACCCTTCCAATCAATGCAGTTGATGCCTTCCCCCACGACTAGAGGTGGCTGTGATAAAATCTGGGGAGATTAAACAGGGAAGGAGATGAGACTTTGACAGGGATTGGGTGAGGTTTTGTGACTCCCCCATTCAGAATCAAGCCAATCTGACCATCACTGGCTTTGTTATTTCTTCCTGAATTACCAACGTCTGGCTTGATTAGACATAAAGTACACATCTAAACTTTCATTTAAACATATTTGCCAAAAAAAAAACCTTCCAATTTTTTAATACTAGGGAAGAGGTGGATGTTATAATGCACTCATAACTTTCCATCTCCTGGTCGAAGAATCGTTTTTGAACACTTAAGGCAATGGTATCCAAATTGTTCTAGAGAGCTGACATTTTGGTGTCCCACGCGTATTTACATGTCCCCAGAGGACAAAGATTAGTGATGGCAGCTGGGAGCTGTTGTTTTAACAGGGTGACTCAAAACACGTATGTAGGGGCAGGTGTTCTTCCTCTCCAGTTCCAAGATCAAGGGGCACACGTACCTTGCTCCCAGTGAGCTGTGCGAGGTGAGGCTTCAGTTCTTCACCGATAACGGAATAAATCGCCACAAGGCAAAATACACTGGCTTTCCGAACGCTGCTTTCTGTATTGTCGTAGCCCTAAAAAGAAACGTTATGAGAGTTCAGACCTCTTCTTCCAATATTAGGAGTCTAAGGAATGAATACGACAAGCACGTAAGGCTGAGGGAGTCGAATGACCTTTATGCCAGCATATCCTGGAGAGACGCCTGCATAAGGGCCCATTACGGTGGTGCAGGACTCCAGCGCCATTGCCCTGCTCTCAGACACGGGCACAGCTCTGTGGCAGCTGCTCACCGGTGCCACTCAGGCACAAGGTTCTGCGCTGGCGTTGTGGGTGGGTCGTGGGGCATGGTCAGAGTTAGTCCGCTTCCTAACGCCTTTCACCCCTGGAACATCCCGACAGAGGCACAAAGTTGTGCCGACGAAAAATATGGCATGGCACACGGGCGGCCACGGAACAGAAAGAACAAGTGCCCTCCCACTACTGCAGCAACAGCCATGAGGCTTCAAACGTTCAGGATATTGACTAAGGGCGTGGCTAACACCTCCTGCCCCTATAGCAGGCAAGCCCCCACCCCAGCACCCAATCCCTGTCCCCCCAGCCCTACAAAAAACCCCAGCCAGGACTCCCCACAACTCACAAGGCAAGGTGCACGGCATGGGAGGCTGTCTGACAGCTCCCTGCTGTGCAGACTTAGAGTGAGGGCTGAGGCACCTTAGCGGCAGGGAAAACGCAGAGAAGGCACTTAGCACCACTGGGCAAGCAATCTGCGGCAACACCTCACAGGGAGAACAAAGTCCACACTCGGTGGTCTACCCCTCTCAGTTCTGAACCCAAACAGGTCCCCCCGTCTCCAGAGGCAGGACACAAACAGGCACCTGCACACTAACAGGTAAGCAGGGGTCTGTTCCCTCAACCTCCTTCCCCCCTTTCCCTCCTTCATGGCTGGTGCCCACCTCGGCAAAGTCCACCAGCATGGCAGTCCAGCTCGGGAGGCACGAGCCGCAGACCCCGGCCACCGTGGTCCCTCCCGACAAGGGGGTTTGGTGCATGGGGTCTGGGCTGGGAGGGCTACTGGGAAAGGGGGCCCGAGTTCTTAGCTGTGGACTGGATTGACATCTCAGTTCTTTGCCAGGCCCCCTCTTGGACAGGCACAATGGTGCGGCAGAGCCCCACTATACTGAATGGAGTGGGAAATCACGTAAGTCTTGCACTCATTCCCTTGCCGGAGCAGACTCCTGTAGAGCAGCTGCCAAGATAGACCATCTTTTGCTGTGGGTTTGGACATCCACACAAGAGAGGTGAGGGTGTTTTGAATGGCACTGGCCTCTGGGGTGTTTGTGGCCCAGGTCTGGCCCATGGGCCCGAGAGTGGGCTCCTTGCTGACCCATGACGAATCTCTGTGCACCCAGCAAGGCCCTTTTGGCCCCTTGTTGCAGATGCATGTATCTCTGTTTTGTCCAAATTCAGGCAAGAATCCGACAGGGCACGCTTTGGCTCGGACTGCTATCCTCCTGGCCCCAGACCAAACCTGCCTTTGAAAGCCAACTACTGTACGCAGCCTGCTGCCTCTCTTTGCCCTCTGTGCCATTGGGACTGTGCCCCAGGAGTAGAACACCCTTTCCCCATGTGGGTATGCAGAGGTGGATTCTAGTTCTCTTGGCCATACTCCCCCCAAAACTCTCCAATAAAGTATTCTCATTTGCTATAGCTGTAGCTTTGTGTGTGTCATTTGGGGAAGTTGACTAGCAACGCTGATGCTTCAATCTGCCTGTGGAGCAGATAGTATGCTGTAAGTAACCACCTCACAGCTGCTTGCTCAAACCAAGGGATGCTATGAAATGGGCCCCTGAACAGGGTGCCCCTGGCAGATAACACACAGGCAAACTTAAAACCCACAATTTTCTCTTCGGCACTCACTCCTATCCAGCACCAGAGACCAACATTTTGGTCCTATATAAAAATGCGCGGGGTGGCTATTAGGGGTATGCATTCAGATCTACCCAAGCTGAAAATATACCAGAAGAATACCTTATTGGGATTCTTTCGGGTATATTTCGGCTTCCCGAATGTATCCAGGATTTCTCGGGGAAAACAAAACAAAGTAAGTCCCCCGAAAATTCGGGGAGATCTGAAAACAGCAGATAGGCAAGAGCAGATTGCTCCCACCTCTCAGCTGTTTGTCAGGCAGGCTTGTGCAGTCCCTTTAAAGGGACTGCAGAAATCAGCCCAAGGATCAGCCAGGGTGGTGGCTCTCGGCTGTGGCTGGCTTCCCTTGCAGCTCAGTTTAAACCAGTCTGCAAGAAAAGCCAACCCGAGATCAGCTGCGTCGGTGGGGAGTTGAAAATTCCCTGCCAGCGCAGGTCTGTTTAAGCCAGGCAGCCACCCGGGATTGCTGTGCCTGCAGGGTGCTGACAGCTCCCTGTAGGCCCAGCTCTGCACTGCCTTCGCCTGCCACCTGGTTTAAATCAGGCTGCAGAAGAAACCAAGCCAGCCCCAGGATTGGGCTGGTATTTCTTTATTGGCATTTTTTGGTTCTGGTCTATTGGATGCAAAACATTTAGGGATTACTGAAAAATCCTGGATCTGAATACCAATACAACCCCCCCCCCCAGTCCAATAGACCCAAACAGAAAAATGCAGGTAAGAAAAAAATTGTACACTCCTAGTAGCTATGCTGTGGGAAGTGGGGTTTGGCTGTACAGTATCAGGGGTCATTTTGTAGAAAAAGAGGTGCAGGAGCTTATTAGCATAACTCATTAGCATGACTCATTTGCATATGCCACACCCCCTGACATCACTGGGAGTGTGTCAGAAGGCAACACCCACCGCTCAGGCTCCACTGGACTGTTTTGAATTGCTAGCTATTGGGGGGGGGGGGGAACATGCAGATCTTCCCTCACAGAGGAGGGAAAGCTTGTACCTGAATAAAACCTGGTCTTAAAGGTGCCACTGGACTGTTTTGGACCAGGGGGCCGGGGGGGCTCTGCAACTTACCTGGCTGCTTCTTCCTCTGACTGAGGGCTGCTGGGAGCAGGGGGTGGGGTTGTTGCATGTGCCCGCCCCCTGGGCTCTTTACGGCCAGAACCCTGCTCCTGTGCGCTCCTGCAGGAAATGACTCCTGGCTGTACTTGTGTTCACTGCTTTTAAAAACAGATCATGGTAGATGTAGGCTACGGGACTGGAGAGAGGAATGCACTACTTTTTAAGAACCAAATTAAAAAAATGGTTTTTTAAAACTTGTTTATGAAATGATGGGGGATTATTGGAAGGCTTTTTATTGTTCACAGCTTTTTGTTGATGTTAAGGGATGAGTCATCCCTGAATCACACAGTGGAGAAGCGCTTCTGTGAGGGTATAACGTTCTAAAAAGAAATACGTTTAAATTAATTTGGCTACTATGGAAGGAAAACTGTTGTCACAGGCAGTGTCCAATAGGAATCCACACCGTTCACAAAACTAGATTTGTCACATCATTCACAATATCGGTGAGGAAAATAGCTGAGGGAAACAACATTTCCCCAGGAACAAAGTACCATGAAAACGGTCTATCTCTGCAGGAGATATTTTTGACACACAATCACTACAGTGCAATTGCAGCAGTAAAATACCATTCAAAGTGCCCTGATATTGGCTGAGAGAGACCTCTGCTGGGAGGGTCCTAAAATATCTTTGGCTTATATTCCTAAAATTTCTATTGCTTCCTATCTCTAGGCCAGACCCAGCAGAAAGATGCTTTTTAAGAGCAAGACTGGGTCAGGTTCCCATTAACGAATGTGATGGAAGTATATATATATATTCATGTTTTATAAATTTTCTAGTCCTAGGGTCAGGTTCCTGAGTTCCATTTTCAGGCTGCTTCTCTCTGACCTTAACAGTATGAATTCATTTGATCAGCAGCCATACGGAAGCTATTCAAAGGTCACCTGTAGCCTTCAATCATGTGGTTACTCAGTCTTTTAATGCTCGCTCTCAATTTGAGTTAATGTATTACTGAATCTAAAAAAAGATGAACTGGGCAAAAGAGGCCTAATCTGGCTAAAGAAGGACCAACCGTGCAACCCTATGAAGAGATCTATATATCTAATTCCCAAGATGCCCCCTCCGTGCGGATATCTAAATCCGCACTTGGGGGGCAGGGAGATTTTTCTGCACATTTGGGACAATACCCATATGTGCAAAAAACCCTGAAACCTTGGAAAAAATATGCGGGGGATATTTAAATATTTAACCCCCCAAAAAGTACAGCCGCTGCCGCCAGGGAGGGAGAGGGGCAGGAGAAGGGTTGGTCAACTGGCGGCTGTAAGCCGCTCAACCCTCGCCGCTGCGGGGGGGGAGTTTGGTGGGCTCTCAGGCCTCGCCGCTGGTGCTGGGGGGAGGAGGGAGAAGGCTTAGAGGGGCGCGGCCCTCGTTGTGGGTGCCAGGGATGGGGGAGGGCAGGAGAGAAGGCTCACCTGTGGCGGCTTCCTTCTCCCCCCCCCCCGAGTATCGCGGGTCCCCCTTCTTGTACTTGTCTAATCCCTTGGAGTATTTCTGTACAGGATTGCACTGTAAATTAGTTATAAATTATAACATCCAATTTCTTTTTGACAGGGTAATAATTTACTTGACTCATAAAACCCCAAGCCTTTCTTATGTGATTTTTATTTATAGTTTTCATTCCACAAACTCTGCGAACATGACAAAACCTTTTTTAAATAGTTGGGTGAAAATAATTTGAGTCAGATTTTTAGAATTGCAACACAATTTAACCATTATTGACTCTCTCAATCCTTGACTTGACCCCACCCTCAAAACACACAACGCACAGGAAGAAGAATCCTTTGAAATGTTCAGTTGCCGCTTGCCCCCACTGAACTGGAACATCAGAGGAAATGTTCTTTCATTAATTGTTTGCCTACTTCATTCTGCTTTCAAAATTGTTGTTTGGACCTTGCGGAAACAATTAATATTCTGAAGTGGTAAGGTTGAGGCCTTCCCCAGAATTATGTACAATTAACGGCAAGAAAAACACATGCAATAAGCAGACATAAAATCACCACCAAATCTCTCACTGGAAATGACAGCCATATTGCTTGAGGGGTTTTATGATTACTTCCTCACATTAAGCCAACACCAAAGCAAATCTCTGAAGGCAAAAGACATCAAGAGGAAGAACCTCAATCATAGTTCAATTATAGTTAGCCTACCCTAAGAAACAGGCCCTGGACGATCACCATAATACATACTCACTTCTATCCAAAACATGCACGCGTGCACACACCCGTTCCAATTTGGGAACAAGAACCCAATGCACCAGCACATTGAGTTGTATTTTGGCAACTTTGCTGAACTCTTAAAAAATGCCTCAGAATTTAATCTGGTAGAAAAAGTTGTTTCAAGCTTCTTTACAATATTCATCAGTTGTTGGGTAGGAAGCCACAAGTTGGTTGAACCCAACCTCAGCTGGGTTACAGCAGTGGCACCACTGCTTTTTTAAAAGAGAGAAAAACAAGAGGGAGAGAGAGAGAAGCAACTGAAGACAGAGCAGTTCACTGTATGCATTATATGCAAATGGGGGTAACAAAGAGCCAAACTACAAGCAACAGTGATAGGCTTGCCAAGTCCCCCCGCCACCGGTGGATCGGGCCCCGGGGGGAGCCTCACCCCGACGTACGCGTCGCCCGGAAGTGACGTGACCATGCCGGGCACGCTGGGGGTGGGGCCACGGTCATCCGAGGGAAAACTCTATGGTTTTCCCTCGGATGGTCGTGGCCCCGCCCCCAGCGTGCCCAGCGTCGTCACGTCACTTCCGGGTGATGTGCATGCGGCGCGCACGCTCCAGACGCCAGCCGGGAGTCCCCCGCTGCGGCGCAACACCTGACTTGGCAACCCTAGACAGTGGCCAGAGGTCCATCCCATGGTCGTTGATGCCATTTTAGAAGCACTTGTAGTTCTTTAAAAATTGCAATGAGGCCCCAATCTAGTTTGGGCATGCAGCGCAGCAGTCCCAAGACCTCTTGGTTCCTCTTTCTCCAAAATCTTCAGGTGCAGAAACATCCCCCACCATGGCCTCAAATGCTTCTAAAATGGAGTTGGTCCCTTGTATCCCACAGCCACTGTCACTTGTAGTCTGGCCCTATATGTTGGGGTGTGTGTTTGCCTTAATGAAAAGCAGCCATGGGACACTGCAACCTGAATGGAGGAAGGGAGCTTAACCTTTTCTCTGCTCCAAACTGCCACCTAGAGTTGCCAGGTCCCTACCTGGCATCCAGTGGGGGTTGGAAGTTCTGCGTCCAGGAGCTTCGCACACAGCACGCGCGCCGCAATGACGTCACCCAGAATTGATGTCATTGTGCCGGGCATGCCGTTGAGAGACACTCTAGCGTTTGGCTTTAAAACTCTATGGTACCATAGAGTTTTAATGCCGAATGCTAGAACGTCCCCCAATGACGTGCCCGGCGTGATGATGTCACCTCCAGGTGATGTCATCGCGGCGGGCACGTCGGCCTGATTCTGGCACTTTGGGGGTGGGGTTCCCCCCCAGCAGCTGGATCCGGGCCAGCGGGTTGGGGGCCTTGGGGGACCTGGGAGCCCTACTGCCCCCCAACTACTTTTCACGTCCATGATTCCAGATTAAAAAAAAACCCCAAACCTCACTGTAAGTTCATTTAGCACCAGTGTCTTGTCTTTGCAAAATCATTCTGAATAGTTAGTGACAAAGCTACTGTGACATCACATACTCCTTAGGGTAACTAGGGATACTACACGGGTGAGTAGGTTGGAATTCTGCCAGAATTTCCTGCTATAACATGGAGCCTCTCCGCCCCAAACACAGGGCTGTGCCTCTAAGGCATAACCTAGCTTTGACCTTGTATAATAAGATTTGTGTCTAGTAAGTTTCAGTGGTATCCGCCAACTTCTTCTGACCTGTGCTTCAAACTGCAAGATGAATACGTTTCATCGGTGCTGCTCCATTCTGCTGAAATGCATTTTCCTAACTTTTTTTGCCCATTGATTTGATAAGCAACATAAAGTTTTTAGGTTCTTAATATCTAGCCGCGAATCATGTTTTCCAGTCAAACTTCCAAAAAGCCTGCAAGTGCATGGTTTGGTAAAGTACTGGTAACAATGGGGTGACGACACAAAAGGCCTTGCTGCATCTCCTAATTGACCATCGCAGTGGGACTGTCCTTCCCTTTGAAATGTGTTTTAATGTTTAAAGTTTACCACTTTAGGGACCCTGAATTGGGTGCAAAGGTGACATGGAAATAAATAAATAAATACATAAAGCTAAGGTTAAGCTCTTTAAGCGGGTGCTTTGTGTAGACTGAATTTTAGACTGTTCTGTGGATGCAGCCTTTGGAACAGAAGTGTCTTTATTATGATGATCGGATTTTTACTAGACTGTAAGCAGCTGTGAGTTTTATATAGCAACATGTGTTATATAAGTATAGGTAAAGGTTCCCTTGCTCGAAAGCCAGTCGAGTCCGACTCTAGGGTTGTGGTGCTCATCTCCGTTTCAAAGCCGAAGAGCCAGCGCTGTCAGAAGACGTTTCCGTGGTCACGTGGCCAGCATGACTAAACACCAAGGCGCACAGAACGCTGTTACCTTCCCACTGAAGTGGTCCCTATTTATCTACTTCCAATTTCTTGCTTTATATTAGGAGTCTAAGGAATGAATACGACAAGCACGTAAGGCTGAGGGAGTCGAATGACCTTTATGCCAGCATATCCTGGAGAGACGCCTGCATAAGGGCCCATTACGGTGGTGCAGGACTCCAGCGCCATTGCCCTGCTCTCAGACACGGGCACAGCTCTGTGGCAGCTGCTCACCGGTGCCACTCAGGCACAAGGTTCTGCGCTGGCGTTGTGGGTGGGTCGTGGGGCATGGTCAGAGTTAGTCCGCTTCCTAACGCCTTTCACCCCTGGAACATCCCGACAGAGGCACAAAGTTGTGCCGACGAAAAATATGGCATGGCACACGGGCGGCCACGGAACAGAAAGAACAAGTCCCCTCCCACTACTGCAGCAACAGCCATGAGGCTTCAAACGTTCAGGATATTGACTAAGGGCGTGGCTAACACCTCCTGCCCCTATAGCAGGCAAGCCCCCACCCCAGCACCCAATCCCTGTCCCCCCAGCCCTACAAAAAACCCCAGCCAGGACTCCCCACAACTCACAAGGCAAGGTGCACGGCATGGGAGGCTGTCTGACAGCTCCCTGCTGTGCAGACTTAGAGTGAGGGCTGAGGCACCTTAGCGGCAGGGAAAACGCAGAGAAGGCACTTAGCACCACTGGGCAAGCAATCTGCGGCAACACCTCACAGGGAGAACAAAGTCCACACTCGGTGGTCTACCCCTCTCAGTTCTGAACCCAAACAGGTCCCCCCGTCTCCAGAGGCAGGACACAAACAGGCACCTGCACACTAACAGGTAAGCAGGGGTCTGTTCCCTCAACCTCCTTCCCCCCTTTCCCTCCTTCATGGCTGGTGCCCACCTCGGCAAAGTCCACCAGCATGGCAGTCCAGCTCGGGAGGCACGAGCCGCAGACCCCGGCCACCGTGGTCCCTCCCGACAAGGGGGTTTGGTGCATGGGGTCTGGGCTGGGAGGGCTACTGGGAAAGGGGGCCCGAGTTCTTAGCTGTGGACTGGATTGACATCTCAGTTCTTTGCCAGGCCCCCTCTTGGACAGGCACAATGGGGCGGCAGAGAACCACTATACTGAATGGGCCCACTATACTGAATGGAGTGGGAAATCACGTAAGTCTTGCACTCATTCCCTTGCCGGAGCAGACTCCTGTAGAGCAGCTGCCAAGATAGACCATCTTTTGCTGTGGGTTTGGACATCCACACAAGAGAGGTGAGGGTGTTTTGAATGGCACTAGCGGCCAGATTGATGGGGTAGTCAGCCGTTTGAATGATGGGGCACAGCACTTTGATGCACTGCTCAGGGTGGATGGAGCTGGCCAGGGTGGAAGCAGCTTCCTCAGCAGCTCTAACAACCTGGAGAGGTGGGGGTGGGGAGAAAGGAGATTTGCAGTTTATAGACAACACACATCTTTTCTACTAAACTGATGGTCAACAACAGGGCTTTTCTTGTAGAAAAAGCCCAGCAGGAACTCATTAGCATAATAGGCCACACCCAACAGCAGAAACTCATTCGCATATTAGGCCACACACCCCATGCCTTCCCTTGGCTTGACAGGGAACCCGGGCAAGCCGGCCCTTGGACAGGCCGGCGAAGGCACAGGGAGGCATTTAAATGCTTCCCTGATCCTTCCAGGCCCCCCCATCCCGCCCGCCTCGGAGTCGCCGGGGGGGCAGGGTTGCTCCACAGGCCTTCCCTGTGTAGCTACGCACACAGAGGTTTTGGCTGTAGTGGGCGTGGCCAACTCTGAAGCCAGCCAAAACTCCGTTCCTGTGCGTTCCTGCCCAAAAATAGCACTGGTCAACAAGCCTCTAAAGTAAAGGTAAAGGTTCCCTTGCTCGAAAGCCAGTTGAATCCGACTCTAGGGTTGCGGTGCTCATCTCCGTTTCAAAGCCAAAGAGCCAGCGCTGTCCGAAGACGTTGCCGTGGTCATGTGGCCGGCATGACTAAACACCAAGGCGCACGGAACGCTGTTACCTTCCCACCAAAGTGGTTCTACTTGCAATTTTTTGCTTTCGAACTGCTAGATTGGCAGGAGCTGGAACTAGAGATGGGAGCTCACTCCATCATGTGGCACCCGGGTCTCGAACTGCTGAACTACTGACCTTCCACAGCCTGCAGTTCAGCGTCTTAACCACTTGAGCCACCGCAGCTCCTCTAGACCTATGCTACTGTATTAATTTGGTGGGCATAGGGTTGCCAAACCTGTTTCTCCTTGCAGCGGGGGGCTCCCGGACGGCGTCCCGATCATGCGTGCGCGCCGCATGCAGATCAGCCGGATGTGATGTGATGACGCCGGGCATGCTGGGGGCAGGGCCACAGCCATTTGAAGGGAAAACTCTGTTTTCCCCTGAAATGGTTGTGGCCCCGCCCCCAGCGTGCCCGGCGTCATCACGTCACATCCGGGTGACGTGCACGCCGGGGTGGGGTTTCCCCCGAGGCCCGATTCTGCAGCGGCGGAAATCGGGCCTCCAAAGCGGGGGGAAATCCGCCCCCCGGGGGGACTTGGCAGCC